AAGCTTCTTCCCAGGACATCTTTCAGACAAAGTTTCTAAATTGTTCGTCCATATGAAGGCTTTAATCTATATGGATTTGATTTTTGCATAAAGTATGAAGTAGGCAGTAAATATTACCAGTAGATGATCCTAGCATCATTGATGAAATTGTTCACTGTTTCCTCTTTGTCTGCAATGCCAGCTATTTTATCATAATGTCTTGTCTGTGTGTGAATCTGTTTCCATGTTCTTTTTAGGTCTGTTGACACACTCTTAAAACAACACTCTGATGTCTTGAAAATTACTTCTTTTAAATAGATCTTAATATTTTGTCCCAAAAGTCTTCCATGAAATTCTTTTCCAAGAGAGTCACAGACTATTCTTAATCAATTACTCCTACATACACAGTGTAGGATCATCTCTTCACTTTCTATTGAAAGTTCTTTTGTGATTGAAGTTTTATTGATTTTAATCATGGGTTTGGGTATTATTGATACTTTTAATATATTTTCTACCTTTTTATGGACTTGAAATGTAGCTATATTTATGTTGGTCTCTTTTCTTCTCCTTTAATGAATTTTTTTGTTTAATTTTTTTTCCTGGTGTCATGCTTTTCTTGGGTCAAATCACATAGAGTATGGGAACCAACATAGAATTTTAAAAACAGAGCTTTTCAACCCAAACCATACCTTTTGTCCAGACACTATCTTCATATTCTCTTGAAAGGTCTTAGAAATGAGTAAGGGAGAGCTACAGAAACAACAGACTCTCCAATTCAGCCAACATCCCCCAAAATCAAGCAACACAAATGCTGACAAGGGTTTGAGAAAAGAATGTGTGTTGAGTTGGGAAATTTATTGGTGAATAAATTGACATTGTACAACATTGCTGCAGTCTTTTCTAGCTACTAAGGAACAATTATATTCCTATACTTACTCTCATTAAATATAGTTGTTACTAGACAGTTGTGACTCTTCAAACACAAACTAAAATTAAATAAAATCTAAAATTCAGTTCTTCAAGTGCCCCAGCTCAAACGCAAATGCCTGACATCTCCGTGTAGTTCCAGTGTCTACCTGTACTGGACAGCTCACACAGAGGATGCTTCCATCATAACAGAAAGTCCTACCAAGGGGCTCTTCTAATACAATCTTTTGAATGAAAGAATAATAGCAAGATTGTTCATGCCAGCACTGTGTATAACAAGAAGACAAAAGAAATAATCCAAGTGTCTATCAATAGTAAAATGGACAGATCAAATTCCATACTTTTATAAAAATGACAGTATTCCCCAGCGTGCCATGCTGGCCTTGCCCCCAGGGCACACTGAGCTGGCAATTGAGGCACGCCTGTAATCCCAGCACTTGAGAGGCTGAAAACAGGAGAATCACTGTGAGTCTGATCTACATAGTGAGATCCTGTATACCCTTCTCTAAATACAGAAAAAAATGACAACTATAATCAGTGAACTTTGCATCCATGTATGTGCATTGAGAAATATTCTATTGTGTTTGACAAAGCAAGACATACAAGAAAACATGTAAGATTCAACTAATATGTGTTAGCAGGCAAAGCCTGTCACATAGCTTTCAGTCTCCTCATGCATTTGGGGATTATTGACACCATTGTTATATTGTCTTTTTCTTTATGGACCTGAAATGTTGTTATATTTATGTAGGCCTTCTTTTTGTCCTTCAGTGATTTTTTTGTTGTTTTTTGCTTCTGCTTGTCTTTTTTTTTTTTTTTTTTTTTTCTGAACCGGGTATTGAACTCAGGCTCTTGCGCTTGCCAAGGAAGTACTTATTCCACTGAGCCATCTCCCCAGCCCCCTGCTTGTCATTTTTTTTACAAGGATCAAATTGCATGCTATAGAATGTGGGAGCCAACACATGCTTTAAAAACAGTGCTATCATCATATTTGTTTGGAGATTTACAGTCAAGTTGTGGAAATTTCTGAGTAGGTAGCGAGGATAATGAATGCAATGTTTCTAAAGGCAGATGGAGGAGATGAGAATTCCAAGAACCTGGAGTCGTGTTCAAAGTCCTTCTGCCTTCACTAGGCTCTTGTTGATCAAGGAGGTCTGCTGCTTGCATCCCATTGCTCGCAAGCAACAGCACAATTCATAAGCGTGCTGTCCAGTGGTTCTAGATTGGATCACAGATCCTGCTGAGAATCCAGTGAAGTTCAATGATAAATTCTCTAACTTTGTACAGTTATGAAGTGAATATTTTAAAAGTAGTCTCCAAACTCATGAAGCGTAGGCTCTTCTCTTGTCTACTCTGGCCCAGGTGTGGAGCTTAAGGACCTTTACTAAAGATGAATTTCAAGATGTTACAGGTTGTGAGATATACTAATGGTCATTTTCACATTCTATCTTTTAAGCAGTTTTGGTGAGGAAGTGATTCAAATAGTTAACTTGATAATTTTACCAATACCGAGGACAGGGAAGATAATGAGATCTCTGTTACATTTCTTTTTCTGAGAATGTAAAGAGCTAAAACTCTGCAATGTGGATGCATGTCTGTCCCCCTGACCTTTGTAAGCAGCACACCCAGGGCTGTGAGTACCACCACCACTTGTGGTGCTGTCCTGCCGTGTTTATGCACACATGCCTGCCATTCAATTTTGGAGTGTGTGCTGACATCAGTGGTGTGTGTGTGTGTGTGTGTGTGTGTGTGTGTGTGTGTAGATAAATAGGTCCTCCTTTTGATTGGTGTATGGTACAGGGACTTTGCTGGCATATTGCCACATTAAAACATACTACTCATGGACTAGGTTATGTATTCTAAAAAAATAAAAGAGAGTAAAGAAAAACATTAAAAATGATACAGAATTTCACTAAACAAAACCATAAGAATTCAACAATGATTATTATATTGCATAGCATTGTCTTCAAATTAGTTGTTCACATTGCCAGTTATGTTTCTTGGACTCGCTAAAGAGCAGAAGCTTTAATAAAAATAGAACACTGAATTAAAATCAACTACTAGACAAATGGACAATTGCCTACTACTACTAAACAATTCTATGTCAAATAAAAAAGTACTATAAAATTTTACATATCAAGGATAGAAAGTGTCAGAAGATGACTATAAAACTTGGGGGGCTGGTGAGAAAAAGGACAGTGGGTTTGTTGTTGTATCTAACCAATTAAATATAGGAAAATTAAAAAACTTAGAAACCAAGACAGTATTCCATGAATCTACATATGATCATTGAACCGTAGGAACAGACTGCCTGAGTTGAACAGAGAATGCACTTCAGCAAATAAAACAGACCCTATTATCACCGTCCCAGCAGGAAAAGTCATCCCCTGAAGCTGTCCTCAAGGTCACCCTCATCACACCATAGCTACTACTGCCACCACTTAGGACGCAAAATGATATGCCTCATCTGTCTTTCTCAAACTGCATGCAAAATTAATTCTACCTTTTTCCCCCCTAGACCAAGGCATTTCACAGTTTTCACCTGCCCAGTAATTTTGTTTACTAAGCCTTTAATGGATCATTTTAATGACCAATTTGATTTAGCTTTAGAAATGAATTTGGCAGAGAGTTTGGTCATATGGTGTTAATAGTTGATTGTTCAGATGAAAGACCTGAGGTCTGCATTCAGCTGATAATTGCTACCTAGCTCCTGACTGTGGCTGCCCAGCACAGGACTGGTCTTTTAGAATCATGCCCAAGTCCTACTATATGGAAATGATGATTTACAAGCACGATTTCTTTTTCTCATAAGATTCAGACTACCTAGGTTTAACCCATGCCTGCATCATTTCATAGAGTTTGAATCAATCACTTAGAGACTTTTGAAATCTGGGTTCATCTATATGATAAGGAGGATAATAGGGTTATTATAAGGAACACCTATTTATAAGGAATGCCTGTTTGTGGGAAGCACCTAACAAATTTTAGAAGCCATCATAACTGAACACTCGCTCTAATTTTCAAATGCCACTTTCAAACCCAGTTTGATCAAATTTGTAGGAAAAGGGCTATGGATCCTAAAGCTCACTTTTTCCTGTTTATCAAAAAAAAAAAAAAAAAAAAAAAAAAAAGATGCGTGCTCAAAGATGTATATAAATTAATTTTTATCTATTTATTTAGCTTGAAGACTTTGTATAGTTGATCAGTCTTCAAAAGTATTTGATGATACAGCCCCATCACTTAAATTCGTATGTATCACTGTTGATATATATTTTGTTGATTCTGAATATCTAATATATGCATGTGTGAAACTGAACCCTATAAAAACAGAATTTAAGCATTCTGGCCAAACGGAAGTGAATTGGAAGGAAGAGTAGCAGGGACTTTGCAAAGAGAAAGTTGTCCTATCTCTCTAACCAGTGTCAGAATGTGGAAATGTTTACAAAATACTCATTAAGAGAAAAAGGGATTGCAAGATAGAAACAAAATCTGGCCTTCAAGTTTACACTAGGGAGATAAGGAAGGCTAGGCTTCTATAGGAGATTTTGTTCTCCAATTACTGCAACCTGACTTTTAGAGGGGAGAGGAAGAGTGGTAGGGGGAGGGAAAGAGAGAGGAAGGGTTTCCAAACTTGTCTCCAGTGACATGAGACATTTACGCTCCGCGAGATAAAACTGCCACTTAGAGCCCAGGAGAGCTAAACCTTCCCGAGTTGGCCTGGGGGCTTGAGCAGAGTCATGGGTTCCCCGGTCCTGTGTCTGTACACTGTCTTCTGCCTGGTGGCTCACTCAGTTTCTGGCAGTCCCATCATGGGCCTTGAGCAGTCACCGCTGGAAGAAGATATGCCTCTCTTTGATGATGTCTTCTCAGAACAAGATGGTGTTGACTTCAGCATGCTGCTGCAGAGTATGAAGGATGAGTTTCTCAAGACGTTGAACCTGTCTGACATCCCAATGCAGGATTCAGCCAAGGTGGACCCACCAGAGTACATGCTGGAGCTGTATAACAAATTCGCCACAGATCGGACCTCCATGCCTTCTGCCAACATCATTAGGAGCTTCAAAAATGAGGGTAAGTTTGCATTTTTGCTAATGAATTTGGGAATTTTTTTGTTCAAGAAGCAATAAGAAAATTTACGACACCTGGAGATGATACGGATAATGAATATATTTATTTAAGGGTATATGTTCACAGATACAAAAGAATACATAGGTCTATAGCATCCGTATTGTCATTTCAGAACCCAAAATGATGCTTAAAAATGCATTCTAATACAAAGCCACAAAATGGCTATCATTTTAAAATCATAACACAATCTTTTAATTTTTAAAATTTGGACACCAAGTAACAAGAAAATTACTATTGGCCTGCTGCTATATTTTGGTATTTTCCAAATAGCATTAAATTTCCATTTTGGATTTTAATTGCTTATACATAGAATGAAATTGGTGAAGAATAATACCAGACCAGAAAGTTGAGATTTGTGTATTGTTCAAACTTTGGATCAGTTCCCATTTCCATCAGTTTAAGAAATGTGAAAACAAAATGCACACTTGCATTTGAACAACCCTTCTGAAAGTAGTATATGTTTGATATGTTCTTGGAGTATTTTTGAAAGTTTCCAGGAAGTGTGCATGACCCAGTTAATGATCCAGCTTATCATTTCTGTGTCTTTATGAAGAATAATGCAAAAGATTTGAATTATTCTGGGGGAAAATGTGCTGTCCATCTCCACACACTGCTGATCTTTAAATTCAGCAATTAGATTTAATGAGCTAGCAATTTAATGCTTTGGTCAATATGGTTCTAGTAGGCCAAAAACATTAAAAATAAAATTCTGGTATCTGTAGTAGAAAACAAAGAAATTGTTTCATTAATGGCTTCCAATTATGCTTTTATAATCATTAAACAGATATAAAAGGCATATTTACCGATGTTCTTAAAAGCAGTAAGGCAGTGGCAGAGAAAAATCTTGAATTTGGAATTTTGGGAGCTGGTTGACCTGGGTATTATAGCTAATTAGCTTAATTTATATGAGCCTCATTGTCCTTATCAACAAAGGAGAATGGTAACTCATAACACAATTGGGTGATTTAGAAGCAGTTGCAGGTAAGAAAGGATGCTGTTTACTATGAAGTGCTGAACAAACTGAAGACTATAAATGATGGGCTGGGGACATAGTTCAGCAGCATAAGCATCTGCCTGGAAAGTGCAAGATCCTCAGTTCAACTCCCATGTACCAAAAAAAAAAATCATAAATGACTTACTTAGTATTCTAGGCATTGTAGTAAATGTTAAGTAGCTAATACTTAGACTTCAAGTTATTCTTTGCTTTTCAAATTTAATTGGTGGCTATAGTGTCTATTCAGTAACATTCCTAATGGAAATGGCAAACTGAGAACACAAATTCATTTTAGAAGAGAATATGAGTTGAAAATGAAAAACCTCCTTCTGTGAGGATCTTTCCTAATGCTTCTCAGCACAGAATTCTAGTGTCTAGCTCAGGCTGCGGGTGGGAGTGGAGTAAAAATGTTGTTTGCTTTCTGCTCTCACTTCTCCCGAGGAAAACCTTGATCTAGTTAGAGATATATAGTTTATAGAGATCAGTGTGAGTAGAAGCATGTCTCTGGATACCCAGTCCCTGCAGCTCTCAGTCTATGAGAGGAAATGCAAAGCCCGAGGACATATACGCCCTCACTGGCCTCCTGCTCTGGCTGCTATCAACTCTCTGCTGACCCTGTGAGTCTGCTAGCACAGCTCCCTCGAAGAGAAAGGCCAAGAAATCACTAAACTGAATGCACCAAGGGAAAACAAATGCAAGAAGGATTCTTCAGTTCCTAGCTTTGTTCCATTCCTTCCCTCCATTTCTCTGCATTGATATTTGATTTCTTCTGGTGCAAAATGAACAGAGGATCGAGTCCTGCTTTATGAGGTTATTGTAAGAACCACATAAGATCATGTCTGTAAACACTTAGCTGGTGGGATTTGTTAGGAACATTAGTTCTTTTCTCTGAAATGCAACTCCTCCTGTGTATTATGCACCACATCTATACAAGCAACTTCTCAGTGATTTTATTTCTTTAAAAACAACTTTACTGAGAAAAGCCACATAAAGAAATCCTTATTTACTTAAAGCACGTAACTGATGGGTTTAAAGGTTTATAGTGACACATGCATATCTATGTTTATACCAGTAGCAACACAATTCATAATAGCGAATTCTTGGAAGCAGTGTATATGTCCATCAACAGATGAATGGATAAAGAAAATGTGATATTGACACTCCATAGAATACTCTACTTTGCCATAAAAAAGAAGAAACTTGAGTTATCTATAGGAAAACGGATGCACCTTGAGACCATAAAGTTAAACAAAATAAATCAGGCACAAAAGATTAAATATCACATGGTTTCTCTTACACGAGAAAACCAAATCAAAATAAAGAGCGAAATAAAAGGTAGATAATAGACCACCTCAGGGTGTGCTGAGCCAGCAATGGAGTCCAGGAGTGGTGGCACACACCTGTAATCCCAGCACTAGGGAGGCAGAAGTCGGGAGGATCACTACAAGTCCGAGCTCTGTAGTGAGACCCTGCACACACACATACAGACACACACACACACACACACACACACACACACACATACACACACAAAAAAAACCTTTTTTAAAAAAGGTAGATAATAGAAAGCAGAGAAGAAGATCTTTATTAAATCAGAAAAAGATCAAGAAATAGCAGGACAGTGCTTGGGAGGCTGAAAACAGGAGGATCACTAGTAGTCTGATCTGTGTAGTGAGACCGTATACTAAAATTCATTAAAAAAAAAAAAAGAAAAAGAAATAGCAGGAGAGGGAAAGAGGATGAAGAAAGGCATTAAGATATGTCATGTATGTATACCAATGCTATAAAAAGAATGTCAACATTGCATACTGAAGATATGTACTAATACAAATTATGTAACTACCCATTGAAACCATCACTATGACCAATTAGTGAACATATCCATCACGACCAAAAGTTTCCTCTATAATCTGTTCTTGCCACTGCAATGAGATTTTTACCCAGTACTTTTCTCATGAAGGGAACAACCAGTCCAGTCTCCCAGTTTTGGTCTTTTGTGTTCACTGTCCAAAGGAAGTAATTGCCTCCACTTTCATATTAGAGGGACAACTCCCAAGCTATTTCTGCTTTTTACCCCAAACTTGATGATGTGTTCAGAGCACATGTCATGGTCTTAAATCAGTTGGTCTGGTGCCCAGAAAACTAATTAATGTTTTTAAGACACTATCTTTGTTTAAGACATCATGGTAAGTTAGAAAAATAGCAAAGAGGCTGAGCCATAGTAATTGCCACTAGAGTGATAGAATGGTGGCCATTGGGTTTGGAAGACTCATTCATAAAATGACATCTGAATTGCAGAGATATAATTGAAAAAGTCAAGGGATGGAGAGTGTGTGTTTACATGATGTAATGGACTAGGCTTTCAGTCAGAGACTTGAGGAAGGAAAGGCCTCGATGAGAAAGCCAGAGATGGGAAAGTGAAAATGAAGCCAGGGCACTTGCTATGGATCAGAAGAGTGTATTCAAAGTGCAAAGAGCACAATAAAAAGAGTCTTTCTGCAAGCAGCGACATTAGCAGTCTTCAAATGAAGAGATTTACAAATTCACTCAGCTGTTCAACAAATATTAATTGACCGTTTGCAACTTTCCATGCATTATAGAAGATGGATGGGAACGAGGCTGAATCAAGATATTAGGACCTAGTTAGGTCTTGAGGGCCAGGTCAGTGAATTTAATTTAATTCTATAGTTGAGCATTTTCCACAGGTAATGTAAAAGACTGTTCGAGTTGGTACCCAGAGGAAGCTGTAGTGCATGTCTACTTTTATCACAGTGTTTCTTTTTTCTCCTTTATGGCACTGGGAGTTGAACTAAGGACCTTTGCACTGAGCTACATTTCCAAATATTTATATATTCATTAAATATATATTTACTAAATTGCCCAAGCTGAACTTGAGCTTGCGATCTTGCAGCTTTGGCTTCCCAGTGTTCTGGGATTACAAGTGTGCTCTATTATGCCTGATTACTACAGCGTAAAAAAAAAAAATCCACAGAGCTATCACCACAAGGACAATCTTTAAGTACTTTTAAGAGATAATAAACATAAAATAATCAGATAGCATTACATAAAAATAATAAAAGAGTATAATCTGCAACAGGAATCCCCCTGAAATCATGAGTTTGGTAAACAACTAGGGAAATGTTGCCAAAGATGGTAGAGAACCTTCATCTGGTAGGCCTTAGTGTTATTGGTACTGTGGGTTCCTTAGACAGCTTGGTGGCAAAAGTCCGTATAAATTCATTGTGTATACTTATTACCTGAGGCAAGTATATGGAAGCTTTGGGCACTATAAAATTGTTCAACAAGAAGTCAAGATGATGGTGATTTGAAGTATATGTCTATGATTATGGGACTTCTATAAAAGTTGTTTCATATACATTCTTGAGTGATCTGTATGTGCCAGACTCCACACAGGTGCTAGCCGAATAAGCCTGAGGAAATCAGTTTACCATCAAGACTCATTTTCTGTCTTCCTTCCTTTAAAGGGACCATACACCATCAAGTCAACTCCTGTGACCTGTTGGATTTTGGCTGTTGTGTTGACCTTGTTAGTCTTTGTGCTCTAGAACCAGAATCAGCAGACATTTTCTGTAAAAGGCTAGAAAGATAATAATTATTTTAGGCTTTGCAGGCCCAAAAGTCTGTGTTACAACTAATTCTTACATTGTAGAGCAAAAGTAACTATGGCCGATACAAAAAAGAAACGAATGGGGCTGTGTTTCAATACAACTTTATTTTCAAAACTATGGGCTGTGGTCTACCAATCCCCTGTTCTAAATGGAAGTCTTTGAGGAATGCCAGAGCCGAAACATATAAGATCTCCACTTATTACACAAATATGAAAACCCATGAAGTCCTTATCAATTAAAAACTTCAAGAGAAGAGCCACTATCACCACATATCCCATTTGCTAATTGTTTATTGTTTAGAAAGAGTGCTCTCCCACACAACCTCCAAGTTCCTCCTGGCCCTGCGCCTTTGAGACAAGTGAACTGTGCAAGTGACGAGTTTTCGCCTGTGTCTTAGGCAGCCATATCCATGTTAGTTTTACGGCCTTAACTCAGCTTAGCATCTACCATTGAACTCTCATGTCTTCTTGGTCACAGGATGCTGACATTTGGCTTGGTTTCATTGCTCTTCTGTTCTCATTTGCTCTATGTCAACCTTTCTTCATTTTACATGTAAAAGGCCCTCCTTTTACATAAACACCTATTTCTCTATAAGACATACTGCATATCTGATTTTTGCAAATATGTTTCTTTCAGATCTTTTCTCTCAACCAGCCACTTTCAACGGGCTACGAAAATATCCCCTCCTCTTCAATGTGTCCATCCCTCACCATGAAGAGGTTGTCATGGCTGAACTCAGGTTATACACTCTGGTACAAAGGGATCGCATGATATATGATGGAGTGGACCGGAAAATTACCATTTTTGAAGTACTAGAGAGAAAAGAGGACAATACAGGTGAAAGAAACATGCTGGTCTTAGTGTCAGGAGAGATCTATGGAACCAACAGTGAGTGGGAAACATTTGACATCACAGATGCCGTAAGACGTTGGCAAAAGTCAAGCTCCTCTACTCACCAGCTAGAGGTCCACATCGAGAGTAGATATGACCAAGTTGAGGACATTGACAGGGGACAACTGGAAATAGACACCAGTGGTCAGAATAAGCATGACCCTTTGCTTGTTGTGTTTTCTGATGACCAAAGTAGTGACAAGGAGCAGAAAGAGGAATTGAATGAAATGATTACCCATGAACAACTTCTGGACCTAGACAACCTTGGTATGGATGGCTTTTCCAGTGGGCCTGGGGAAGAGGCTCTGCTGCAGATGAGGTCGAACATCATCTATGACTCCACTGCCAGAATCAGGAGGAATGCCAAGGGGAACTACTGCAAGAGGACCCCTCTCTATATTGACTTTAAGGAGATTGGCTGGGACTCCTGGATCATTGCTCCACCAGGATATGAAGCCTATGAGTGTCGTGGTGTTTGTAACTACCCCCTGGCAGAGCATCTGACACCCACAAAGCATGCAATCATCCAGGCCTTGGTCCACCTTAAGAATTCTCAGAAAGCTTCCAAAGCCTGCTGTGTGCCCACCAAGCTGGAGCCCATCTCCATCCTCTATCTAGACAAAGGTGTCGTCACCTACAAGTTTAAATATGAAGGCATGGCTGTCTCCGAGTGTGGCTGTAGATAGAAGACTTCTGTGGCTTATTTAATGACTGTAAATGTGTATATTTTGTGTTCTATTTAATGAGACTATTTAAAGAGGGTGTACAGAAAATAGAGGCTTGCTGCCTTAGGAAATGGACAGGTCTGTTTGTTGTAGGAAATTAATGTTTTGCTAATCAATCTAGTCCCTTCTAGTCTGCCTTTTCTTGCAGCTGTCATTTCCTGGCGATGCTCTCTCGAGGCAATGACAGCCCACCCCCTTGTCCTCCGTGTCGACTTAGAAACAGCAACCCCTAAGTAGAATACAGAGTCAAAACACACATACACATATATGTGTGTACATACATGAGCTTAGGAAAATATTTTGATTCTATTGAGGAAGGTTGTGTTCATATACATACATGATTCACTGAAATGTTCATACATTAAAGGCAGTCCTTTCCTTTCTGAGTAGGACTTATGTCAAAAAAAACTTTTGCATCAGGAGTTTAACAATCCTAGGAAGTATTTTGTTTCTGACAAACTCTGAAAATGTAACTATAGATTTTTTCAGTTGAATTTCTGCCATGGCTTGGAGCAGCAGACCTGGTGAAGGAGGCTACATGCTTGAGGGGAGAGCAGTTAAATGCAGAAACCAAATGACTTTTGAGAGGCAGTGAGCCCACAGGTACAGCAGCAAAGAATGAACCCATGGAACAGATGTGCTGTACAGGGGAACCCCTGGTTGAGAAAGGATGACAGAGGGGACCGCAGGATGAGGTCTGTTCTTCAGCAGATAGGATGCCCAGCCATCAGTGCTGTCTGTAGTGTTGCAGAGGGTAGGGGAGGTGGGAGAGGGACAATGGGGAAAAGATATAGGTGCAATCCTCCTTATGAGTTGAAGTCATAAGACATTCTAATGAAGAAATTAAATCTTTTGGACAAGACAAAAATTCAAAGACCAAGAAAAGGAACATCAGGAGGGAGCTGTTTGTTGGACTCTTCACTTCTTAAAATGCTTTTCCTCAATGCATAGTCTTTTCCTCTTGCATCTGTACACATTTCACTCTTTCCTATGTTGCACCTTTCCCCTTGCTTCACCACTGTCATCCCTTATCTCCTTCTCCTGTTCTCCTGTGTCCCCTTCTTCATTGGCTTTCATGGTCCCCAGGCCTTTGACTTTAGGGGAAAATAATTAATCATCTAATGTCTAGATTCCCCCTGATATTTAACTTGCTTTTGTTTTAATACAATTCTTTAGGACATGCTTTGGTCATAAAGAATACTTAAGGATAGCAAAAAGAACATAGTCAAAATCTGTATAGATGAATTACTGAACAGACACACAAGAAAATGACTTGAAAGTTAGCCTTGTATTTTGAAGTCAAATTTGCTCCAAGGTGGGACCCTGCCACTTTCCCATCCTGCCCTCTTTGTAGATTGCAGTTGTATTTCTGACAGGAATGGTCTGCTAGGCCGCTAGCGCTGCCCCACTGCCAGTAGCTGGAAGGACATTGAAAATCTGGCTCCAATTGCACTGCCCCCATGCGGCTGGTGGGCTCTGTGCAGGAGGACAGCAGGTCGCAAGCAGGGCTGCATTTCTGGGCAGGAGACTCAGATGGATACAGATGCGCTTTCCAGGATAACACCCCTCCCTGTCCCACTTTGAATGTTTCTTTAAGAAGTCTTACATTTTTTTTTTTTTTTTAATTCTGGGAAATTTTCACCTTTTTGTACAAGCCTCTTCTGGGCATCAACTCATATCGCCCTACAAAACAGAGCTAGGAAAAGCCAATTTGAAGATTCTTTTCCCTATTTGGATCTCAGCTGTAGGCCTCCATTTCCTCTGGTGACCAGAGGCCATATCATGGGGAATTTTTTGCCCTAGGGATAGTGACATTTGCACTGCCAGTGAGAATTAGAACTTACCAGTTTGTGATGATCAGATGGATCCATGCAACTTAGCATGCCTTGATTCTGGGCTAGCCTCCATAAAACATGGTGTGTGTGTGTGTGTGTGTGTGTGTGTGTGTGTGTAGCTGGCTGAAGATAGCCACTTGATACCCTCAGTGGAAGATGCTGTGTCCTTTACATTCTATGGTACACCATGTATACTCACCTGTACTCCATTGTACATCTCATTCTTTCTAAAAGACACTGTAATCTACATGCGGTAAGCAGCTATGCATGGTAGTTTCTGGTAAATTTTATTTATTTTGTGTCTAAAATATGTAGCAATTGTACGCTAGTAAATGCTTTCCAACCAGCAGTCCAAGCCCCTGATTTACAAATTTCAGTAGTGTAACTTCTCCCAGCCTGCTCTATTTCAAATCATCAATGAGATGCTAACTGGCTTGCAAACTTCTGCAAATCCTACCAGGTAGTGCCGGAGAGCCGTGTGCAAGTGAGCTGACCCCAGACCACAGTGGGATGCCAGCTCCTACATTCTCCCTGCCCTCTGCCATCTCCACAAGGATCCTGGGAAAACTGTCTTGAGCACTTAAAATCACTTTGCTGTTAAAAACTAAAAATCTAAGCTTCTCACAATAAGCCTGCCTTTCATGGCATTCTTCCTTGTAGAAAAGGAGTATAGAAAAACCACACATTGGTTATTCAGATGTTGCTAGTTATAAAATTAGTACTATTTCTCTTCTTCTTATTGAGCAATGAAAAGACACAGCCCATAAGAGGAGGCACTTTCCCTGCTTTCATTGGCACCTCCGTAACTCTTCTACTTCACACCATTGATGCAAAACCATGAAACTGTTACTGTGAAAGTAGAACTTCATAGTATTTTCTTTGGTCCTAGGTCTTCCATTCTGCTCACATGCATTGTTTTTTCTTCTTCCTTTTTTGCACTTTTATAGCATGATTACTGTCTCTGAACTCGATAAATCTGAAGAACTCATGAGGAAAAGGGTAGCAGAGGTACGCGGGCAGCCCACAACCGATAGCCATATAAGTCTCTAGGCTTCCTACTATTTATTGATTGATATATTTATTTTTGTAATATAGTGTAGAATACCAAATATTTTATTTTTATGTTCATGTTTTCCTTCCCAGATAGAATAATTTGTGCTTCTAAAATACTATCCTTCTCTGGAGTACAGCTCACTTGGGATATTTTGCCTACACAGGACATTCATCTCTCACTTTTTTCATCAAAATAGCGTCTCATTTTAAGGAGTTTTGCCATAAGCTTACCTAAGTTTTGTATATTTATGTCTTCAGGCATGCCGTGAGTCCTTCATATATTTACTGATTTGTAAATAATACAGGTTTATCTGAAGTGTAAATGTTCCAAGAAATATTTAACCAATACATGTCATGCTATTCCACAAACTGACACTGTTATTTTATCATGAGAGGAAAATATTGTGTGTCTGTGAGGAAATATAGTCACTATTTACTGAACAGAGGTGGCACCTGACTGGACACGCCACGGCAGGGGCCCCCCTCAGAATGCACCACCACCCCTACTTATCCACCAATGTAGAGACCTGATTGAGTAAAACAGCAATTGGACCAATTCCTCTCTAAATGTCAAAAATACGAATCTAGCAGTTACCCAAACAGAGAGCCTCAAAATCTCAATACTTTGCCAATAATATTTAATCTGGGCAAGTAATGATAAAAATACTTCTTTCAAAACTCTTTCTAAATATTTTGGTATTCTTCATAATTTATGCTCTTTGAGTAAAAGATATGTTCCTACAAAGGAATTTTACATGTTACCCCCTTACTGAATTAATCAAGAGAACATAAAGTGGCCCAGTAATATTTTGACCAAACTGTCACTTATTCCAGACACTGAAAGGATGCTGCCCTTTTTGAGGATCCTGGATCTTTTTCCAAGTCACTGTGGATTGTACTTCACTTTTGTGGTTCTATATACTCATGTGTGATAAAAAAAAAAAGAAAAAAGAAAGAAAGAAAGAAAGAAAGAAAGAAAGAAAGAAAGAAAGAAAGAAAGAGCAAATGCTGTGTCTCAGTGTATTTTCTTGCCTCTATACAACATTCAACTTCATACATTAGGTGGAATAAAAGTAGATAACACTGTAGGATAGCAGGAAAAATGGATTTTCTGCATGTGGAAATGTATTAATAAGTTAATATATTCACGGAGGAATGACCGCGGTGAGCAGCGCGTTTCCGTCATGCGGAGCACTGAGTCGGAAGAGCTCTGGCTTGCCCCGTGCGCAGGCCGACCTGCGGTGCTCATCTGCTGGTCTTCCACACACGCAGGAAATCTGTCCAGACCTCGCTACGACCAATCGGCTGAAGCACAATCACATGTTGGGTAAAACAAGTTCATTTTCTAGGTCCAAAGTTATTTCGTGATTCTTAGGCTAAAATGAAGATAGAAATAAATATTTTATGCTGTGTTCATAAACCAAATGTGTACATTCAGTGTCCTCTGGTGAAATAAAATGAAAAAAAATATTTTGATGATAATTATTGGCAACTTCTTTTTCCCTGCAGCGAAGTTTATTTTACACCCTAGTCCCCTCTCCCTTCTTTTACATTTCCACTTCACAGTATAACCACAGCATGAAATGAAATGCCTTGTACCCTGAGTAAAAATGGACTGAAGAAGCAGTAAATTGTTCGGAGCTCCTCAGTGGTCTTTAGAGACTGGCACCCTCTTGCTGTGTGGTTCTCCTTTTTCACATGACTTTGGGTAAATCCCATGAATGCCAGAGATGAACACAGAAAATGAAATTATTTATACTTGTCAACAATTAGGAAATATTTTTTCTTTGGATTCTGAATGAGGCATATTAAAGAGCAAGTTCATTTGGGGAAAATATTTAGGCTAAATTTCGCTGATATCTGATTATTAACCTTATAGCATCTCAGAATGAAGAAAGGAAGTTCAAAAGTTATCCAAGGGTGCTCTACTGTCTTGAAATATGCCAGCACAATTTCCACATTCTTTGCAAATATTAGTGATGAGAAGGAGACAACTACCTTGTTGAGGGTGCCTATTGTATTCTTAGGGGACTCTGCCTTGGCTGTACTCAGTTTGACAAATAGTTTGGGTTTTGTGTATACAAGTCAGTAGCAAAGCACAAAGTTAGACGGTAGAACTTGGTAGCAGATCTTCCTTATGTGGGATTGAAATCTCTCCTGGTATCCCTCAGAAAATCTCCTGGTCCACAATCTCATAACTTCACACACCTCTGTCACCCACCATCTCTAGGACAGCCCCTCTGGCTTAGAGGCTGCTCTACTGTTATTGTGGGTTCACTGCCCCATTCCCATCAGTGGTGTATCCTATAGGGTAAAGGGACCCTACAAGGTGGTGTATTGGAAATTTAATGTCCAAATTTGTATGCCGATGGTATTAAGTGTTAGCACTTTGGGAGGTGGGGGTGTCATGGGGCATCTGCTCTCATGCGTGGCTTAGTGCATTCATAGATTAATGAGTTATGAGTTATGCAGAAGTCACTTTTGTTATGAAAGTGAACTTTCGCCACTGACCAGATGTCAGACGCATACTCCTGGACTCTTCTTCCTCTTGAATAGTTAGTTAAAGGAACCTCTATTTTTAAAGAAGAATTTAATAAATTGACTGAGTAAATTGCAGCACCCCTTCAGCTGAAGCAAACAGATGAAAGAACTGTGCTTGGATTGGACTTGCCTCTGTAGGTTGGCAGATCTGGTCAGCAGACAGATCTTGCTGCTTGTGACAGAATTTGAGAACTGAAGGGCAGAAAGAAAGTGCATAACAGAAGAAGAATTCTCCTATGAGACAATCATCCTGCAGCTCTGCTGGGGGAATCCTCCAATGTCCTGG